GATTTAATGTGTTCCATAAGGGAAATTTAAAACAAAAATATTTCATGATAAATGAACTCATAATATTGTAAATATTAAATTTTACTTCTGCTATTTTATAAACTAAAAAGGTACATACAGATACCGCTCTTAGTTTTTGTATGGGGCACATATACAAGAAATACTGTGTTAACACGAGATTGTATTTTAGACTCATGCAATTCAAATATGGTTAACCATGACTTATTAGATATAATTCTATTTTCACTTTATAGAGAATATCAATATCAAAATTAATTTTAGTTGATCATTTTCTATGTCATAAGTTGAATATTAATTATTTCTAATAAAATAAGTATTCCATAAAGCAAAATAATTGTGTTAGATACTTTTAAAATATAGTGGGAAAAGGAATAGAAGAAAAAGAAAAACCCCTTACTTGCAGGTGAGACATATCTTACAATCTGGACACTGCCATCCAGCTCGGACAGCAGATCTAACTTCTACAACCGGATGTAGACAGTTGCCATGATAGTGATTACCACAAGTGGTACAGAACAGCAAAGACGAATTGCCAGTCCATTTGTTGCATTGAATACAGAGAGCCTGTTGTCCAGCTGTAACAAAAAAAAAAATTAAATTAAAGAGAAAGAATGCAATGTTAACTTATTAAACACAAAGATTTATTAATTCTTCCATTTAAAAAATGTTACATTCAAAAAGAGAGAATTTTATATGATACTACACTACCAGTGACCAGTTAGGTCATTGACAGTTCAGATTATAAAGCATTGAAATTGAGTTTAACATAAAATATTGTCTGTTTGAAGAACATTGAAATAAAAGATAAACAACTCATATTTTTAAATCTTATTCACTTTAAATATTTTTTAAATATGGCAGAAAATATTTTTTTAAATATTTAAACTATTGTTTGTTTAAAGAAAGCCGAAATATAAATAAGCATGCACAAAATCTCAGAGGTGGAAAGAGAGAGAGAGAGAGAGGTGGAAAGCGGACATAAATGGTTACATTTATGCCCACAATCCAGATGTTAAATTAGGTCACCATCTGAGACGAAGACACACCATTTCCTTCTCTCCCTACTTCCTACACAATAAATTTACATCTTTCTTGCAAACACTCTCTATATATGACTTCTGGCAAACACACAAGCATACAAAGTTCACAGAGTTTTATAATAATAAAGATTACTTCTTTGATAAAATAAATATATGCATTTACATCAGAGCCAGAAAACCAGTCTTGGTTTTTATAATTGCAACATTTCAGTCACTGGTAACCTTGGGCCTTTTCCAAGTATCTGTCATACTCAGTAAACTAAGAATTCTTTAACAAAACTCTTAATTCAATCAACATGGGTATATTGTTCTCATTCCACTTGCAGTGGTTAGGAGAGATAACTCATCTCAGTTATTAATCTCCAGCTTTTTTGCCTCATATGTCATTTGATACATTGGTTGAAACATGAAGTTGTGAGCTCAATATCCTGGGTCAAGTAGTATGGAAAAGTTATATACATTGGTTCAGTAAAAGATCTGGGCAAGTAATATAAAAGGCACAGAGACTAAAAGAGTATTAAGTAATATGAGTTATCTGCCCTGAGCATGGAAAGAGGAATAAGAACACTCACCCCATAGAGTGAATAAAAGGTTTGGCTAAAACTTCCAAAGTTACCTTGTACAACTGTCAAAATGTTGTAAGGTTAACAGTCAAGATTAGTTTCCTTGTTTGACTGTAAAGGGATATTATAATAACACTAATAATGATAATTCCTCATTTAAAAAATTCTGACATAAATTAAACAAAAAAAATAAAACCAAACAGATGAAAAATAGAGAAATTAAACTCAAGTTCAATATTGTAAAGTGTACAGTTGAGCTAATACTCACCAATGGTCTCTGCTTGGTCAATGTGATCTGGGCAGAGCAATGAGGGCCCCTTGATATCCTAAAAGAAATTTTTAAATATACATTTTTTTTTGTTAAATTATTTCATGATATTTTTGCACAAAGCTAGTTTCAGAGTCAAGATCAGAATCAATTTTTGCTGGAGGTGGTAAAATTTACCAACTCCAATATAAAAACTCACAATATTTATAAAAACTTGTTTTTAATTATAATTAGCAATATATTTTGATAATAAAAATAATTGAAATTTGCTTGAAAATTTTTTTTTAAAACAAATTCAAACCACCACATTTTCTATGATTTGTGAATTTCAGTGTAACTCAAAATGAAAAACATTTTGTGTCAGCATTATTAAAATAAATTTGCCATTTACATAAAAAAGCAGACTTGAGGAAACGAATGTGGTTGGATGGTGGGAACATCACAAACAGAACATATGAGCAATGAAGAAGTTTTAAGGAAAATGGAAACAAGGTACATTACTCAGTCAAAATTTCTGCAACATATGAGGAAAGAGAGCTTGGAGAATTTGACACTTGCATGAAGGTAGGAGGGGCAGATGGACACATTAAGTAACCTACCTAATGGGCTTGTGTAATTGGATGGTAGAATAGAAACTAGGATGGATAGTAAAAAGATAAACATTACTTAAAGCTACAAAGGATAGGAAGTTGTAAAGAGCCATGATCACCCACGTCATGAAGAGACATGACACATTAAAGATTTACATCAGATTTGGAGCCAGACAATACAAAAATTGAGGAATCAGTGTAGAATGTTTGATGTACTAAAATGTAAAATAATGAAACCTTGCTGCCAATCTAGTACTGCACTTAAATTCATAGTCTAGGTACCATAGTGCAAAGTTCATCTGAACAATTATCATGAAAATAATTACAAAAAAGGCACAGGAAGTTACATTATGGTGGTGGGAAAATGACTGAAGTTGAGATGCCAGATCAGGACCAATAACATCACAGATTCTTTTGTATTTTTCCAAGAAACTCTAAATAAATACATAAGAAAGCACCAGACCAGGTGTGGCAACAATATTTAAAGTATGGACAAATGGTAGACATATAAATATGTATGACACAGTGAACAAACTTTCTTAGTAGCAGACTTAGTAATTGATTCAGTGTAATCTTTCCAATTCATGTCGGCAGAAAACATTAGCCTGAAAAGGTGCAATGACTCACTCTCCCGGAGGTTAGCATCAGCCATGTTGATAGAAGGCACAAAAGGTTCTCTCAGATGATTAAAAGAGAGCAGTTTTGTCTTAGAAGCATTAAAATTAACAAGCTGTTTCTTGCACCAGTTAACAACTTATTGGAGGTCATTTTTTAGATCAGTTGTCAATTTGACCTCTTTAAACTTACCATTAAGACAGGAGTAAATAATAGTGTCAGCAGCATAAATATGATTCACTAACATCAAGAAGGTTGTTAATGAAAATTAGGACAACATATGTTCAGGGATAGAACCCTGCATCAATGCAAAAAGACTTAAAAGATTGGCCATTCAAGACAACTTTCATTTTGTGATGTGATAAAGATGGAATCAGATGAAAAATTTGTCCAGAAATACTATGACCTTTCAGCTTGTGAAGACCAGCATGCCAAACCCTGTCAAATGCCTTCAAGATATCCAAAGAAACAGCCTAAGCTTTATCATCCTCATCTAAAGCTTGATAGCAATAACCATTAATACATCAGCAGGTGACCTAGAGAAGAAAAAGTCATATTGCTTATCTGTGAAGTGAGTTTCTTAACCAATTCAGAGTTGATTAGAGCATTTAGAACTTTGCAAAGAGAGATAAAAGACCAATAGGTCAATAAAAGGACCTGGTGATTTGTAGAGGTTCTTAACACAGCTGTTTGAGGTTTCCTACAGACCCACTGAACTTAAATAAAGTCAATTCAGGTTTCCTATGGTAAAAATTTTCTTTCCCAAGTGAAAATCATCACAAAAATAGCAAAAGTCATTTTGTCACAGCTTATTTTCTCTCAAAATATGGGTTTTCATACTTTTTTAGGGTAAAATATTGAAAAATGACTGTTTTATCATCACCTAAAACGAATATCAAGGAAACTTTTGATCTGAACCCCATGAAACTAGGTATTTTCTGAAAGCAAAAGATATATTCTTTCATTTAAAAGTAAAATTAGCTGGTGTAAATGACTCAAAAATTTTTTCAGTGGGTAAAATGTGAAAAAATAGTGAAAATTTTGCATTTTTTTTGTTCTAAACAAATATTTCCCCCATTAATGGGAAATTAACCATTTTTTTTTTTTTTTTTTTTTTTGAAATCAGAAAGCCTAGATCATAATCAAACTATTTCAGGCATAAAATTGAGTTTTGAAGAAATCAACATTCCGAGGGGTTCAAAAAATGCGACAAAATCCATTGTTAATTTTCAATTATGACTGCCAAGGGTTAAAAAAAAAATTGACACCTGGCCACGGAAATCTTTAGTAAAAGGCAAGAGATTTATCTGCAATTCCTAACCACCAGAAACCAAAAGTTTGTTTTTTTTTTTTTTCTAAAAATAGTGATAAGGGAAAATAAACCTAATTGACTTTGACGTCTAGGTCAAAGGCCAGCCAGCTAGCCAGCCAGCCAGCTAGCAATAAACGGACGGCAAACCTTAGAACAAGTTGTAATAAAACCCACCACTCCCAGATAAAAGCAAAGGGTGAATAAAAAAGGGTTCACAATTACTAGGGCTTCATATAACCTATGTTTGAACAATGGCTTGATAAGTTTTGTTTTGTTTTAACACCCGTGACCCGGTGATGACAACAACACTTAGCAGACAACATTGTTTTTTTTCACGCATATCTTTTGTATTTCCCATCGCCGGTCCATTTAGCCTTTCTTTTTATTCAATGATGTTCATGCCAAATGAAAGAGAAAGGAATGAATTTTGAATGATGTTATTTTGAAGCGAAAATGAATATTTTTCATTAAAAAGGGATTTTTCTCAGAAAATTGTGCATAATTTCTTAATGCTAACCGCCCGAAAGTGACATTTTCCACAGCCAAATCGAAGATTAATTACCAGTGAATAATTCCATGTGCAAAAATAGCCGCCTGGATCCTATAAGGTCGCCCTAAAAGGTCCAGAAGTTTACTAATTGATCGAAAACCTGTTAGCATAATTGTATTTTTTCACGGTCAGTTTCCATTATTTCATCTTGATATTATCATTTTCGGACAGCCAAGTCATCAAGGATTCAGGAAAACACTTTGACATAGGTTTTCTTTAAGAACTTTACATTCTATGAGGTGTTTAAAATGTTACTGACGAATGAGATTTTTTGCCGCATATTTCGTTTACGCGCCATGTTGGATTTTCCTATATGACAAAAACAAGGGTTTTAAACAGCTGTGTTAAAAGACCAAAGAGGATTTACAACAAGCAGTTAAACAAAACATTTCTTAAGAACTATTGCAGGGATACCATCAAGTTCAGATGCTTTGTGGGGATCCACTTCAGAGATTAGAAACCAGGATGGAGTTATATGCATATCAGAGAGAGACTCAGTTTTAAGTGAAAAATCAGGCAAAGGTTTTCCCAGAAGAGTCAAGCATAGAATGGGAAGAGCATTTACAAGCAAAACATTCTGCTTTACAGCAGAAGATATTAACACTTCAGATTGAGTAGAGGAGAGATAGAAGATATGCTATTACAGAGCCATCAGTAGTCACATGAACCAAACTTGCTAGAGGCTATATGAGGCCTCATTCTATCATTAAATAAAGACTTAGCTTCTCTGGGGACATATTTACAGTTATTATGAGCAGATACAAATTAAACTAAGTGTTGAATTATAAAATTATACTCCAATAAAAAAAAAAAAAAAAAAAAAAAAAAAGAAAAAAAAGGTGACATTGTTTTCATTTCACTAACATTTTAATGCATTATAGCAAAATTGAAATCTACAAAAATTATTCACAAATATCCACTATGTTAATGCAAGACATCAAATTTTGTATGAGCTTTCAATAGGAGGCAAAAAGAAAAAAAAGGGAACAATTATATATATATATATATATATATATATATATATATATATATATATATATATATATATATATATATATATATATATATATATTAAAATGTTATCAAACCTGACAAATTACAGTTGACAGTGACTTAGCTGATCTATGGTGAAATAAAATGTTATATAATAACTCATTTTCTATAATAGTTCCACAATTCAGATCTTAAAAAATAAAACAATCTAAATACTGAGTGACCAAAAAAAAAAAAAAAAAAAATTAAACTAGTAAATAATTTAAACGTATAGAATTATTTGGTAAATTAATGTGCAACTGCTGAATAAAGATTGTTCATATAAGATGTTAATGACACTAACTAACCAATCAATGTAAAATGTCAAAAAATACCAATACATCCATACAAGATGTTACTAATACTACCAAGAGAGTAATACAAAATTATATTAAATCCAAATTAATCTTACAAATAGAAAGATAAGCCATATATGGTGCAATGCAGTATAACTAAAATATAAGAAAAAGCATAACCAAATTCCAAAGTTTAACTCAATCTTAAGATTATAAAGTTACACAATAATAAAATTTTAAACCAATTTAATAATCTGGATTATAATACACATTCCAAGAAAAATATTAACGATACTAGTCAATGTAATTGTAGGAATTCTGCCCAATGCCCTTTGCCAAACAAATGTTTAAGTATATCTCTTGTTTATCTTTGTACTATCTCTACAATAGAGAATCCAACAGTTGAAAAATTTTATATTGGTAGTACTAAGAATCCTTTCAAGACTAGGTGGTATCAACATATCTTGTCCTTCAGAAATAATACATCACTTTCTAAATATTTTTGGAATTTAAAAAATGATAAGACTCCTAAGGTGAAATGGAAAATTTTCAAAACAGCAAGAACATGTAGATCTTTATGAAACCTGTTTTCTGTGCTTACATGAAAAATTGGAAATTATCAGATTCAATAAAAATTCCTTATTAAATCAAAGAAATGAATTAACAGTAAATTGTAAACATACTTTACCTTTTACCTTACAATTTAGTTAAACTTTGAAATTTGATTATGCTTTTTCTTATATTTTAGTTGTACTTTGTACTGTGTTGCACCATATATGGCTTATCTTTCTATTTGTAAGATTAATTTGGATTTAATATAATTTTGTATTAATCTCCTGGTAGTATTAATAACATCTTGTATGGATATATTGGTATTTGGTTGGTATTTTTAACATTTTACATTGCTTGTTTAGTGTTATTAACATTTGAATAAAATATTTCCTACCCATAATAATGTCACTAAGTTCAAAAAGGAAGGGAATTATCTTGACTTTTATGCAAAAACATGAAATTCTTGAAAAGATAAAGGAATAAGTAACTTAGTTCTAATGAAAGAATATTGGCAGAAGCACATTTTTCTATATAAAAAACCAGAGAGAGAAAATTTTACAAGCAGTGAAAATGACAATGGACAAATGATAAATTTATAACTTTCATAAATTTTTAAACAGTTCATATAGTGCCTTTGTTTAGCACAGATTTTTTCATTACTATTGGTTGTCAATTATTTTTTGTACATTTATGTATTCAATGTACACTTTAAATAAAAACAAAATGTTACAAACTACCTTTTGTATCCTAAACTCTAAAACTTAATAAAAAAATTTAAGCTTGCCACAGAAGCCCTTTTCTTCCTTAAATTCGAACAATACCCTCAATATCGAACATTGCACTGTATATGTAAAAAAATAATTTATTACAGTTTTGAATATTAATTTTTTATATTAATTGTAAAGGGAGATTACTGGGTTCTTTTTCCAAGAAACAAACCATAATTTACATTAAAAATAAATTTGAATTAACGTATTTGAGCAGATATTTATTTTTATGCCTACATGTAACCATCAATTCATTTCTCTTATTTAATAAGCTAAGGTTATTTAAGTAGTTTAAGATAACAAATTTTTCAACAAGACAAATTACATCTCTTGCTACAATATTCCACATGATAATGACTGTATTACCACCATTCTTTAATTGCCAGAAATGTTTAGAGTGCTGTTTATGTATTTTTTATTGTCACAAGCTGTAACATTGATTAAACTCACACTAATTTTTTTGTAAACAAAAATGGCCATGCCAATATCCAGCAAAGCTTTATTCAGGAGTTTTTCTTTGATTAAGACTCCAATGACGATTTTGAAGGCTGAGTAATTTTATGGAAGCTACTGTCAATCATTAGTATGAGATGGTCTTTCTGAAGATGAATTATTTTGCCTATTCATCAACGAAACAAATAAATATGAAAGAAAGAGCAAACAAATGCTAGTGTCTTCTCGTATGTAAACATGGGGAGACACATCACTTTTTTGACAAAATAAAAGCCTTTTTAGCGATTTTGCTACTTATTGCACCCCCAGAACTCTGCAAGGAGACATAAAAGTTAAAGTGTGTTGAATTATTTATGTATTTTTTTAATGTATTTGTTTTTAATTTTGTATTTTTTATTTCGTGTCTCAATTTTTTTGTTTTCAACGTCAAAACATACATGCAAAATGTAATGCATTACATCAAAATATTATTCATTCATTCTTTTATTAGTGTACAAAAATTAATCTATACACACAATACAAAGTTATAATAATTTTAAAACAGTAGGTGTTCATGTTTTTGCACCCTCAAAAAATGGAGTGGCATAGGGAACAATCCTAGAAAGAAATTAGTGTAATAAAGGTTAAACATTTATTTAAGGCAGCCACTTTGTATACATTTATTTTTTTTATACATTGTCAAACACTTAGTCACTTTTTATCCAGATGACTAATTTCTTTTGCTAGCTATTGTAATTGTTAAAATAAAAAAATGTTAAATTATTTTACATTAATATGACTAAATTTTTTTTTTTTTTTGGCAGTGAGTGAATACAAAAGAACTATTTTAAAATGCTGTGTCATTAATTAAAATATTTGATATAATCAGTATCCCCACCCACATTTTTTTTATATTGGATATAACACTTATCTGGTTTTTGTCAGTAACATTTAACTTCATGTCTTTCCTTTCAAAGAACATTATTCAATATATAAAAGATTTTGATAAACGCTTGTTAATTTGCCTAAAGACATTAAAGTAATTAAAATTAAGGTGACAACATTTAAATTTGTTTTTCTTACCTGAAAACAACCACTGCCAGCAGCACAAGGGTAATGATACTTTTTGGTACATCGAGGTATTCTACAGGTTACTGTAGCACCATAGCGGTGGCAATAACTGCATTTCTACATGTAAAACAATGTTAATTGTTTAGAAAGAGACAACAGATTACTAATACAAGTATTTAATATTCAAATTCGTTTTCATTTTTGACTTATTTACAATACAAAAGCTATTAAATCAGTTCTGCTATTTGATAAAATCATAAATTTTCACAAAATCTAATAAGTGAAATATCTGTATACTTTTTTTCTAAAAAACAAAAACAAAATGTGAACAAAAGAATCATAGAACTCTAGAACTGACAAGAGAATTTTAATGTGAATATGACTGCATCCCCTTGGAACACTAACTCCCCTATAATTACTAGTTAAATAAAAGTGCCTGGTCAGTACCACCATGGCTGACCATTTGGGAATACCAGGTGCTTTTGTGCATGTGGTATAATGGATAATGGCTCAGAATTGTTAATTGGTGAGTCGAGGTTCATTTCCACTTGGATTTGTTATATTCACTTAGACGCAAATACCCTTGGGAAAGGTATGAATCCACCCCTCCTAGCTATAGGTTAATTAGTAAAATTTGTATCACAAAGCATTATTAAAAAAAAAAAAAAAAAAAAAAAAATCTTACAATCTAAAACTATTTTCTGGCTTTGAATAACCTGCAATAAATGAATCAATTAATAATATGAATATGTAACAAAATTAAAATTGAAAACAAACACACCTGTGTTAGACCAGAAAAGACAGCTCGGTCTACAAACTGCAGAGAGTCATCATCTCTTACCAGAACACCCTCAGACCAAGAAGCACATGATCTATGGCCCCACACATGACCTGAAATAATATAAACCAATCATAAATATTTGCAGTTAAAAAAAAAGTGAAAAAATGCATATTCTATACAATATCTTTTAAATGATGTGAGTTTGAGTCCCGCCAATAGCTTATTTTTGAATGGCACTGTTTACTAATGACAGGCAATAACAATCTGTCTGGTTGCAATTAAAAAAAGAAAGATGAAAGAAATACTAATCAAAAACTTAATGGTTGACAATATCTCATCTCTTAAAATTTATGATGAAGTCAGGGCAATTAAGTTAAAAACATTCATAGTTGCCTTAATCATATATTTTAAATGGCTTAGTACTTAACAAAACATTAAATTTGAAGCTTAACATGTAACAGGGCACTAACCATGTTTAAAAACATTTTTGCATGAAATTACAGGATGGTGATTTGGAGGGATTACTAATTGAATAATGATTATTAAAATTCTCAGGAGAGTAAGTTTTTAAAAAATTACAAACAAAATGTGTTAAAATTTATATTTAAAAAATAATAAAATCAACTTAAGAACAGTTCCAAGAGGAATCAAACATAGAACTAACAATATAAGATTCAGTAAAATTGAGTAAACTCATGGCTCCCAACCCTAGCCACTCCCTGTCGATAAGAAGACATGATTGATGTGTTGTCTGAGAAATTAAAATTCAGAAGTTTGTTTACATTATGCTATCTGTCCAAAATGTGTGTTTTTACCAATTATTCTAGGAAAACAACATAACATATTTTGTGTTAATCCACAAGATTGAGATGTATTTAAGTTGATCACCCAAGAACACAGTTATCTTTACAGAAAATTATTTAGGAAGATTCTGAAACAAAAGAAGCATCATATGGTTTGTTTTTTTAACAAGGTTTCCTAAAATTAAGACAATCAGGAGGAGAAATTAGATATATCAATGTCAAATTTTAGAGAAGGGTTGTCTATATAACCAAGAACGAGGTCAAGACACAGATGAGACATCTTCACCTAGCATTGGACTTTGCAATGAGTGTGAAGTTCCGAGTCTGCTCAGCTTTCTCTGCATAGCTGTCAGCTGACTTGAACAAATCTTGTGCACAACTTTCAAGCTTGCGGTTTTTGATCTTCCGTTCTTCAATTTGCATAAGCATGGATTTTCATTTTGTTTAGCTGCTTCTTTCTACCTTTTTTTTCTTCTCAGCCTCAAGGTATTGGTTGAATGCTCTTCTGGCATTGGAAGCATGGCAAAGAAGAGCCTTAGTCAAGGAAACACTCCCAGCATCTCAATTAGTCAGTGATAATGCATTCTGCAACCAGAGTCTGCTGTTTCATATTGTCAGTGAAAATTTCCTTATTGACTGAGAAACATCTCTCCACTAAGGTCTGCCCATGAGAGAGTACCAGCAATCTGCAAACAAATTTCCAGTTTTTGATATTTTTTGTTCTTAGACAAAGAGTAGAACAAAGTGCCCAGACAGTCTTCATGCTCACAGAAATTCTTGAAAGCAATATTTCCAGCAACCTCCTCCTCGAACACTTTGTACTAACTGATGATGTCATCACAATCAAACTTGCTGACTTGTTTTCTGTCTATCATGTGGGAAAGGCATCTTTTTAGACTGTCTCCTCTGGCAATTTATTTTTCACAAATGGATCCAAGGGTTCAGCCATGCAAATGACCTTAAAGGGCATCTAAGGGGAAATTTTGCCAAAAATTTCTCAATGATGGTGATGAACACTGCATGCAGAATTACAACAAAGACAAACAGATCTTTAGTTAACACATTTCCTTTTTTGGATAAATTTTGGACAGTATCATGTCTGCCAGAAATCCACACTATTTTTGGAGCATCTTTATGCATATAATTGAGTTTGACAAAACTCTTAGAAAATGTAATTATCTTTTTAGTAGGTACTGCCACTAATTTTTGATACCTAAGTTTTAAAATGAATTTTTATAAATGAAAAAACTTTCTTGAAGCTTTTATTTTAGCTTTAATTGATAGTTAAAGGATTAAATTTACTATTTCCAGTAAGCAAAATATTCTGGTGGATTTCAAACAGAAATTATACTGATTGGAATTGATTTTTTTTTTTTTTTTTTTTTTTAAATAGCTGATTAGCTCCCTTTTTTAGTCGTCTTTCAATGTAATTCACTGTATTAAAAAATCTTCCAACAATAAAACATACTTTTCTGAAACTTTAATTGAGGAATATTAGCTGATTTAAAGTATTTAATTATAGGTACCCCTCTCATTTTTATGAAATGTTATTTTTTAATTTTCCTTATTTTTGATATCGTTTTGTTTCCGTCCCTAGAATTGAAATTAAAAAAAATAAAATAATTAATAATTTCAGTATGTAACTCATTGAAAAACAATTAATTATATTTTTAAAAAAATAAATTAAAATATTTAGTGAAATAGTACATTAAAAAAAAAAAAAAAAAAAAAACTTTTAAAATGTGACAAGGATGGTCAAAGTCAGTCAAGAATCCAACACATGCTCACAGTATGAAAAGTAACTGACATTTTCTGAGGTCAGTTTATTGCTGTCAGGAGAAACAACTCTTAAAACATGTGTCATTAAAGTCATTTATGATCATCCATATATTTGAGAAAAAAAAAAAAAAAAAACTTATGTAAACTCAAAAAACACTGTAAAATTCTTTTTTAAAATATATTTATCACAGATTGTAATAAGCTTTCAAATTTATGATCTGTAAAGATAAATCTACTTAATAACAGCATTCCCTTAAGTGCACAGATTGAAACTTAATTTCAAAATATTTAACAACTTTATCACATTCTGTATTTAAAATTGGAAAAAAAAATTCATGTAAAATCAAAAATAGTTTAGCTTTAGAGAATATTGTCTTTGACGTATATTATTCATAAACGCCATTAAAAGTTTTTGTATTTGAATAATATATTTTTAGTTTTGTTGGGTTTTGTACATCACAATTCAGAGCTGAATTTTGGGTAACTGTGTGATGTGATTTTAACAAAATAGTTAATAAAAAAAACAAAACAAAAAAAAAAAAAAACAACAACAACACAACACCATGCCTAAAATAATCTCTAGTGCAATGAGATGGCATAGCCTCAGGCAGCTGTTCCCCAGGGGTGGCACCTCTCAGTATAACTTTCCTCAGTTGCCACTCTGTCTTTTGACAGAGTCACCCCTGAGTGCACTCAGCCAAAAGTGAGAGATGATACAAATAAACACACTAAAAGCTCAATATCTGTATTATATTCTAGGCAATATCACTCTTCAAGTTTAACTAATTTGCATATTGATTTAAAAAAAAAGCTTATTTCATTAATTAACTCTCCTTCATTACTGTTCTTTTATTCAAGGATTATTTTGATTTTCATATCAAAAATAGTTCTGTTTAGGAATATCGTCTTATCTAGTGCAGAAAAGTGATTGAAATTTACATTTTACTTGGCCTTCAAGTTGGCATCTATTTGTAAAACTTTCCTTAACTATAACAAACCAATTTATGAATTAAATTTTCATTTAAAATTTTTGTTCCAAAGATTTCAAGGAGTGAATATATCTAACTTTGTGAAGCGATAGCAAGCAGGCAAAGCCTGCTATTAAAAAATATTTGTGACACCTTATTTGAGTAAAATTAGCAAATTTAAAATTACATTAATCTGATTTGAAATAAATATTACTTATAGCATAAAAAAATAGCATAAAAGCATTTCTTAATGACGGGTCCTGTTTTTCTCATTTCTCTTGATATCATTGATGAGCTATGAAGTGTTGATAGCTAGTATGTATGACATAGTTATAACTACCTAGTAATTTTTACAAATTAAAATATTTTCAGCAATTATCTAATATTTTATTAACTTTTAGTTATGTTTAGATGCTTTATGAAAAAATAATAAAATTTAAATTTTCTTAGATTTATTTTAAAATTAAATAACTGAGATGAAATACCATGATGGAGGTAACTCAATTTATGAAATGTTATGGTATTTTATTTATTCTTAAGTTATATTTTTAATATATTTTATCATTTTATTCTTTCTTATTAATTGTTATCATGATGGTCATTTTATTATTAAATTTTTGTAGTACTTTAAATTTTATTATTAATTATGTAATTGTTTAAACTTTTATTACTTTAATCCAATACCCTAAACAATATTTAAAAAAGTAAAACTTACTTTAAAATTTTGAAGGGATGATTTGCAAAGATGTAAATGATGAAACAGAACTGAATAATGAAAGTTAAAGAAGTGCAGAGTGCGAGACAGCTCTAAAATCACTTGACCTTTAAAGCATAATGTCATGTATGGAGTACCATAGTTACAAAATGGGAATATTTATACACTAAAAAATTTTTTTTTTAAAAAAAAAAAAAAAAAAAAAAAAAAAATAAATGTGGTACAAACATCTTATTTTCAATTTTTGATTCATAAACATAGTTTTCACTTAATAACAATATCACCTAACTGCCTTGAAGTAATGCAGAATTTTAGATGATTTTTTATATCATAAATTATTAAATTAAAAAAAAAAAAAAAAGAATTCTCATAAAAATTAATTATTTATCGCAAAAATATCTTATTCTTAAGACAATAGTGTCCTTAATAAATCTTATTTATAAAAGCAATTAAAGCTTTTTCTAATTTAGTCTTATTGCATTTTTTTTTTATTTAACAATTCAGGGCAAATTTTCACTGAATGGGTTCAGTATTATACAAAAAAAAATAAAAAAATAAAAAAAAATAAAAATAAAAATAAATCAAGATTTTTTATAAAAAAAAACATTTTTCAAAACTATTTTATTTGTGAATATGTCCTGAAAGTTTCATTAAAATCCAACAATTATTTGATTTCTGCAAGAATTTCCAACACAACGTGTTTTCCACAGAGAAAAAAAAGTACAAGAACAATAATCATAATTATTACATTGGCTGCTGACCTAAACAAAACAAGATTTTTAACCAAAATTTTGAACATGCTACATGTTTCCTCATAATAATAATAAACATTTTGACAATAAAAC